CCTAATGAGAGGCGCTATCAAGCGGCTCCGGTGCAGCGTCAGGTTTCAATCGCACCGCAGTTTTTTCCCCCGCCCCGCCGAAAGCGCCGGCCGTCCTTTCCGCCGGGGGAGAGGGTGTTGGGACCGGTTTCCGACCGAAATCGGGCCGCCGGACCCGAAATGGGCCTAATGAGGATGTTTTATATGCCTTGGATGTTCAACGTCCCCGGCACCGGCGGGAGACCGGGAACGCCGACGCCCCGCCCCATCGAGGGACGGCCAATCACAAAATAGGAAACTTTCGCTGAATCTGTCGGATTCTCAAAAGTTGGGTGACCATGGGCACGGCCGCGGCAGGGGGGAATGGACCGTACTGTGCCCTAACGACGAAGCCAACAAAGCTCGTTTCGGGAAGGAGGGAGGCCAGCGAGACGACAGGGCACATTGTGTGATGTTTACGGCTCTTGAACAACGGGCATACAGAGATTTGAATTTACCGCTGAGCTGCTTCTCGAAATGGTGAGACCCCATCGGTTTTTTTTACGATAGACGTCAATGCGATTTTAAGGAAGAACAGCCGAAGAAATAAAATACGGTCGTCGATCATCGGGGACGAAATGCGGCGTAAGGAGTGATTGATGTGAAACGTGCTCGCGGTGGGTCTTGTCGCTTTTGTTTCGAAACGTGGAGACTAATAAAATGTTTTGAAACATGCAATATCGTTATCGGTGACCCAAACGCAAGCTCCAAGGAACAAAACAGTTGTGGTTGCGCCCATCGACGCCGATAGTCCCCTACATTTGGTGGTCGACGCCGCCACAAAGCAGCCACAAATACGGAATTACAAGATTGGTAGTAGAGATAGAGGGACGTGTGAAATTGTGCACGAAATAATAGGTTATACCGGCTATACAGTTTTACAGAATACAAACATTCGACGTCGCGGAATTTGAAAAGTGCAAAAAGATTTCTAAGCTAGGTGGCGCAAGCTACCGCCCAATATAAGGGGACATAGCCGCCAGCGTTTATCTATTGCTATTCGCAACTCCAGCGCGCCGCTCGCTCTCCCGCGGACGAAAGAAGAACCAGAGGAGCGGGGAGTCGGGACGGCAGCAGTGGCGGCGGCGCGGCAACGGTGGCAGGGACTGTCGGCCTTGATGCGTGAAGCCGTTTTAACAACAAAAGTGAGCGCGTTAGAAAAGGAATTATTGTGCTCCGCCTTGCAACAGCTTTGCACGAAGGACCGGGATGTCTAATTTCATTAGGGACCTTTCGTGTATCGCATACGCTGCGGATTTCTGGTCTTGTGCATGGCCGCCAGCTCAATCTGTGCTCAACGTGACGGAAAACGCTCCCGCTAGTAATGAAGAACTCTATAGTGCGGTCTACGGAAAGTCTATTCTTTGCCATAAGTAGGAGAAAACTCGTCGCGCATCGTATGTCGAGCAATACAAATCGGGAATGGATTCGCGTTTTAAGGCCGTTACAAGGAACATGACCATTTATTCCAAGCACTTTAAAAAGACAGAATACCCGTACTGGCTTTCGGGTAATTACAAAGCAAATAAATAAATGCACGAAGCATTTTAAGAGCGTCTGTGTTAGCCAGCCGTTCGTGTTAGAGCTTAGAACACGCAGTTTAGACCAGTGGGACCGCAATGTTGCAAATAACACGGTATAAAAAATGTACGGTAATTAAAATATTTATTTTTGATAGAGCAATAAATAAAACCCCTAAACACGCTGATTATGTTAATAGTCAGTTTCTGCATAGCGTATGACACCCCTAAACTTCAGTTGAACGTACAGCGCACTGACGTTCAACCGGCGCTACCAACTTTCACGAGCGGCTTGATAGCCGAGTTGTGCAACTTATTAAAATAACTTAAATAAGTGTAAATGACTGTAAAAAAAAAAAAAAGAAAAAAAAGTAATCGTTTTTTTTTTTTGGCCCTACTGCAAAACCTCGGTGTTTTGTTTTATGTACTCTTTGATGCGTACTTTAACTGTTTAATATCTTATATTGCGCTGTCATCCAGCCTCTCGTAAAAGTTGGGGCCGTCAGTTTGACGTCAGTGGGCTGCACGGCGAACTAAAGTTTTGGAGTGTCTTATATGTGACAAGGGGTGTAAGGACTAAAGCATTTTTTTTAAAGCGATGAGCACGCAACGCTCCTGGTGCGCACAGAAAATTGTGCTTCAAAGCCGCAGCGCGAGCTTGCGGTTGTAATGCTACACCGCACAGTAGCCTGCGGTAACAAACTTTCTATCAATAACCAGAGAGCAGTTTGATTGCAGTGGACGAGGACGAAGAAGAGGGAATACAAACGGAGCACGAGATGGAGCAGTTCTGTTCGGCGCTTGAAAGTGTTCGCGATGCGAACGACACCGTTCGAATTCCTTCCGGATGTACTTGCTGTAGAACCGCGCCTAATCCGTAATTAGATGCATCCGTTGTGACGACGGTGGGCAGCGCCACGTCGAAAACAGTTAGTGGAACGCAGTTCCGTATGAGATCCTTGTCAGCAGCGAATGCCTCCTTTTGTGCCTTTTTCCATTGGAAGGGGACATCCTTCCGCAGGAGCGCGTGCAGAGGCTCCACGATGGCCGCAAAGTTCGGTACGAACTTGAGGTAATAGGGAGCTTTCGTAGATCGTTTTCGGCGTCCCGCAAGGCCCTCCGCAACCCGCTACAATAGCGGGAACTCCACAGTCGAGGCTATCGGCGCGCAGGCGCAGTAGCAACTTCTTCGTTGCGGAACGCTTAGCGGAGGGGGCAGCGCGGTCTACGAAAACTCCCTAATATGTGAGCAGGCCGAGTAACGATCGTAGTGATGTTGCGTCTGTGGAGGGTGAAGCCTGCATGATAGCCTCAATATTATCTTGGCATGGCTTGATTCCCTGCGGTGTCAGCTCATGTCCTAGGAATTGAAGCGGCTGGACTGCAAAAAGACATTTCTGCTGGTTTAGTTTCAAGCCTGCCTCTTGAAGGCGTGAAAGAACCTGCCTCAGGCGGGCATCATGCTCTTCTCTTGTGTGTCCGAAAATAAGTACATCATCCAGGTAGACGATGGTACCTAGAGTACCTCGGAGTATGCAGTCTATCATTTTTTGAAAGGCAGGGGCGGCGGAGGCCAGCCCGATACATATTCTGGTGAACCTGAAAAGACCTTCAGGTTCACTATGCCAAATGCCGTTAAGTCTCTGCTTTCCTCTGCCAGGTCCAACTGCATGGTAATACGCCGACGACAGGTCTAGCTTGCTGAAGACGTGGGCACCGGAAAGCTGATAAAAAAGTTCGTCGGGGCACGGTAGAGGGTGGGAATCCAAGACTATTGCAGTGTTCGGCTTGCGTAGGTCCACACAGAGCCGGATCTCCCCATTTTTTTTTTGCGGGCCACCACGATGGGAGACACCCACTCCGAAGCATCGGTCTGCGATATACCATCCACAAGCAAATGGTCAGGTTGAGCGCTTCAACCGAGTGCTTAAGCAGTACGTACAAACTATCCTGCAGGAACAAGGCAACGTTCGTACAGGCCTTGAGGAGTTTCTGGGTGTCTACCGAAGCACACCACATGCAGCGACGAAGCTCTCCCCCGCTGAGCTCATACACAGACGTAAAATGCGGACCCGTATGGACATCGTGGGCTTCCCAAGTTTTGACAAGCCCGTTCACATCGAGATGCAGCAACTCCGCCAACGCATTGCTAATTACCAGAAGCACAGCAAGCAATACACAGATGGTAGGCGGAGAGCCAAACCATTTACAGCGGGAGTAGGAGATTATGTACGGGTAAAGATCCCTACATACCGACCGAAGGGAACCCCATCGTTTGGCCCCCCTGAAAGAATTCATGAAGCGGTGGGGCCAAGCACCTTCGTCACGTCAGGAGGAGGATGCTGGAATTCGCCGAGGTTGTCTCGGACACGCATTCCAGCAAGACACGAAGTACAAGTGGACTACGCAAATCCAGAAGCTGGAGCAGATACACAGCTGCCGCTTCCAGCTCCACGAAAGTCCACAAGGAATAAGAAACCTCCAGACAGGTTCTCCCCCTGTTGAACTCTGCTTCGAAAGGGGATTGTGTTGTGTCTACAAGCTGATCCTGGCTGCTAGTGGACGAGGACGAAGAAGTGGGAATACGAACGGAGCACGCGATGGAGCAGTTGGTTTTTCCGTCCTGTCTTAACTAGTCGCTCGTATTAAAAACACAACACAATACACTAAAACCGAGACGGTGAGCAGCGAGTTTTGAGGTTGTGACGTGAAGACACCAATACTGTGAACGCTGCTCTTCCGAAGCTTGGCAGTCACCGTTCGCGGCTCTCTTTTTAGAGCACTAATGGCCAGGCAAAGGCAAACACGATGTCTTCATCCTAAAAAATATTCTGCCACAAACAGTGACGTGGCCGGTGCCTAAAACGCGCTCGCTCACCACAAAGCTTCGCAATTTGAGGTTTCCGCAACTTCTAAATAACAGCATGCGCGTTTCCCTAACGTGCATCAGTATCTCTGTCACCTGTAATATGATCCCTCCCTAACCGCTTCGCATCTGTAGACAGTAGTAGTAGTAACAAATTTATTCCGAAAAAGGGTGGCACTTGGCCTGTTTGGGAAGGGGCTAAAGGGGTGTTACGAGTTAGGTGCGGCGCACTATGGAGGCTTCACAAGCGAAGCTCCACAGTGCGAGCAAGGTCGTTTTTTGGTCCTGTACCGGAGTAACCCACCCCTCGTAGGAGGTCACACCTGGTGGTCGGTGCTCCTCTCTGGTGTCTTTTAGTCCGTCACATTCCCAGATGAGATGTCTGATGGTCGGTGCTTGATCTGCGGAGCAGCTGCTGCAACGTGTGATTGGAGGTGGTGAGGGATCGCCTTCTTGATTGCACAGTTGGTTGTACCGCCACCTTGCCACCATGTCTTCTGTGATAGCGAAGCCCGTTCGCGCTTTAACAACAAGCACTTGGGCCCCCCGAGGTAGACCTTTAGGCAATGGATTCTCGAGGGGTGGTACATGATCTTTCAACCGGTTTTTCCGAATTTGCTTCCGTCGTCGTCATCTTCCTCCGGGCTGTGGTCAAGCGATGGACGGTAGATCGGCACTCCCTGCGAGCGGCGAGAAGTGCAAGCCTCGCTCGCCAGGTCGTGCGCGGCCTCGTTGTCCGCTTGACCGGAGTGCCCAGGCACCCACTGGATTTTCACTGCGACGTCTTTTTGTGCTTTTATTATGTTGCAGCCGCTTTTTATGGCGTACTCCGTGGTTCCGACTCTGGGAGGACCGATTAAGGCGTGGATAGCTGTGGAACTGTCAGTGCAGATCGTGACCGTCTTGGTTTGCTCGTTCACAATTCGGTGGTCTGTGAGAATCCAATTTACACCGACTTGAAGCGCCCGGAGCTCCATTTCGGTGGTGGAGGGTGTCTCGTTTAGGTGGTAATTTTGTAGGCGATGATAGCCGTCTTCGGTTCTCGCCACAACGGCAGCGATCTGAGTGTTCGGATTCCAGGATGCGTCCGTAAAAAGCCGCATCTCTGTGGGGTCCGTTGAGGGCTCGTTGAGTGCGCGGGCTACAGTGGCGCGCTGCGGCCCATAGCGTTGGGCGTTGGTCTTCCGGCTGAGTGGTCTGCCGTTCGTGACGGGGAAGTCCATCCACGGCGGCACGTGCGGTGGAACCTCGTCTAAAATGGCAGCCATGGTGGGGTCGTCTGAGAGAAGGAGGCGCTGCCCCTGAAGAGTGAGGAGACGGCGGTCCTGGGTTCCCTCGCGGCAATCTTGTATAATGAACCGTAGGGGTGGAAGTCTTCCGTAGCGGTATAGTTCTTCCACTCGGGTGTGGCGAGGCAAGCCGGTGATCACCCGAAGGGCGGCTCGGTAGAGGGTCTCCAGTTTTTCGACTTGGGTCTTTGTCAGTTGGAAGCACACAGCTCCGTACGTGGCCCGAGACACAAGGACTGCGTACACGAGGGTGCGCGCGATTTCGGAGGTGGCGCCTCCAAATTTAGTTGAAATTCGTTTAATGATGTGCACTATCTTTTTCCAAGTGGGCGTCAATTGCTTTAACCATTCGGCTGCACCACCACGCTCGGAGATGGGTATACCAAGGATGCGTACCCAGCCTGTGTCTGATCGCTTCAGGGACGCGCCTCCAATGGTGAGAGCAACCTTGGCTTGTTCCGCCCTAGAGCCTCCCAGGAGAATGTATTGCGTCTTCTGCACAGATATCTCCATTCCTGTATCTTTCAAGTAGTCGTGCAGCGCCGCCAGCGCCGCCTGGAGTGCTGCGACTGCCGATTCGGTGTCCTCGTGATCGTCTGCTTCTGTCCAAATGGTAATGTCGTCGGCGTACAGCGTGAACCGTACGCCATGGATGAGTTCAAGCTTGCGGGCAACTCCGGTCATGACTACGTTGAAAAGGAGTGGGGACAGGATGGCCCCCTGTGGCACTCCAACGCAACTTGAGAACTGCTTCGGTTCATCGCGCCCGGAGCGGACTTCGAAGGTTCGGTTGCAGAGGAAGCTCTTAATAATATTCAGCATCCGCTTGCCCGGGTACGCCTCCTTTAGGTCTCGTATGACTGCTTCGTGGGTGACCGAGTCGAAAGCTTTCTTTAGATCCACCGCAACAAGGATGCTAGGCACGGTCCGCCTGCGTCCCCGTTTGGTACTAAGGAGTCTTCTCAGAAGGTAGATGCTGTCTTGTGTGCTCAGGTTCGGACGGAAGCCAGTCTGGTGAGGATGGAAGAAGAAGGAAACCTCCTCTAAGTGATGGTTCAGACGGTTGAGGCATAGCCGCTCAAGTAGCTTACAGATCGTCGATGTGAGTGACACCGGACGAAGGTTTGGAACCTCGTTGGAGCGTTTACCGGCTTTAGGTATGGGGGCCACGACGGCGTGCTTCATCCAAGGCGGAAGTTGGCCGCTCACCCAGATCTCGTTGACGGTATCCAAAAGGGTGTCTTTCTCCTGTGCGGGGAGGTTCCGGAGCATGGTCCAGGTGATTCCATCTTTTCCTGGTGCGCTCTGGACCCGGACTTGCTCAAGAGCAGTGTGCAGTTCGGCTGGCGTGAATGGGGTCTCGAGCTCATTTGTCTCGTCCACCGGTTCGGGTTTGTAAATGGAGGCAGGGGGGTTGCGTGTAGGTTGCGGGAAGAAAATATTAGCGGCCTCCTCTTCAAACTCTTCGTGACTCATACCCTGGGTCAGCAGCACCGTTTCTACAACTCCTCGCGTTTTTTTCTTGTCGCTGAGGGCTTGGTAAGTGCTCCATAACTTGCGGAGGCCGGTGTCTTTACCGAAGGACGCGCAGTGCTCCTCCCATCGCTGTCTACCGAGGTGTTTGGAATGGCGGCGAATCTGCGCTGTCTTGTGACGAACGCGAACTAAGTCTGCGTGGGTTTTGCCTTTCTGCAGATATTGGTCGTGTAGCTGTTCCCGAGTCGTCCAGAGGTTGAGGAGATGTTTATCGGGAGCTGGAGTTTCGGCATCCAACTCAATCGAGCGTGTTGCCGATTCTGATGCTTGGAGAATCTTTACAGGAAAGGAGGCCTCTTCCGACTCTTGGATAAATTCACGGTACTTATCCCAGTCCACATACTTCACTTTCTTCCTCCTCTCGGCCACTCGACCTTGAAGCTCAAGCCAAACGGGAAAGTGGTCGCTGCTCCAGGGGTCCCCGTTGCAGCGCCACTCTCGGATGGTCTCCTTCGTAGCCCAGGTCAAGTCCGGTGTCGTGTTTCGCTGGCCGGGATGGAGCCCTAATCTAGTAGGGTAGTCGAGATCATTTACATCTGTAGACAAATAAATGATTTTTAGCGAGCTGAACAGCGTCAGCGAGCAGGCGCACGGGATATCCTGGAGAATCTATCCCTGTTTCTTCCGCCATATTGGAACTACCACCCCGCCACCTATAGGGCGATGGAGTTGCGAATAGCCACCGGCGGCAGCTCCGTCGCCGCTGGTTCGAACACCCCTCCGTCCCCGCACCGCCCCGTTTTCGGCACGGCGCCCACGGCGCTTTCGCCGGGACGGGGCGAAACGCCGTCTGTGTGAGTGAGGCTTCAGACTTGGCTACTGCGCAACGGAGGCGGACAGTTGGGCACGCGGCGGCGCCAGTGCGTCCGCTGCGGCTATGACGTCACTCCTCTGAAATGTGCAGACAGGCGAGGTGCGCGCGGTGGCGGCGGAGCGCGCGGCGGCGGCGGCTCCAGCCAACCCCACCTAGATAGCTTTCAAGCCTGCGCGTCACGTGACATGACGTCACGTCCTGGAGTCCTGCAGGGGCGCTGATTGGATGCGAGCGGCGGGTCGGTGGTCGCCGTGGGGCTCGTTTCCTATCATGGTCCCACGCGAACGCTGACGCGGCACTCGCGTCCAATCAGCGCCCGTGCCGGCCTCCCGGACGTGACGTTAATTCACGTGACGCGCAGGCTTGAAAGCTATCTAGGAGGTGTTGCTCCGGCACGCCAGCTGTGCGCCGCGTGACGTCACTGCTCCTCGCGCTTGCGCAGACCGGCGAGGCGCGCGCGGCGGCGGCGTCTTCGGCGCGCCAGGTGTGCGCCGTCTGACGTCACTGCTCCTCGCGCTTGCGCAGCACGGCTCTTTGAGAGCCACGCGAAACTGCTCAACCTCCGCCAGTGTAGCTAACGCTACAAAAGATCGAGGTACACCTAAGCACCTCTTATGAGTTGTGATTGCGAAAGCATGCAAGCCGCTCGTCCGCTCCCTTTTTCGTCTGCTGCGTATTTTTCGTCGCCGGACGGCGCGTGTGCTCCCCTGGTGACCTTGGATGCTCCGCGCTGATGGACACGCAGCGCCATGGGGTGAGCGGTCGTGGAAACTGACGAGCGCAGCGGCCATTGGGAGCCCCGTCGACGCGCGCCAGCCAATGGAACCGAAAAAAAACTATCTGCCGTTTTCGCGTTTCAGACTGATGACGTCAGCTCGCTCCATCAGACAGCTAATGCTTTCGCATTAAGAAAAAACGAGCGCGCTCTGCTATTTGACGTCAGCCCCCTTCGCTACAACACTATGTAAAAGCGAAAAATGGCACGCAACGTCGAGTGTTCCCTTTCCAACCAGGGGGTAGCAAAAGAACTAAATTGGAGGTCAATGAGTTACAATTAATACATGTATGCACGCAAAACAATGCACAACGGGCCACCGCATTTTCTCTGCTCTTAAAAATGCCCATGCGTCCACTTTCCCTGAGAATACTTGAGGGGCCGATCAAAGCAATCTATGGAGGGAACTTGGCTAAAAATAAGTTTCGACTTTAAAATGAAGTCTGTAACGTGACACTGAGCAAGTCAGCAAGTCAGCACGTGAAACGTCATGGTCAGTGACATCTCACGCTTCATTCATTTGTCTAAACGTGCTTTGGCCCTTTTAATCGCCGAGCTTTCTCCGTGGATTTGTGTGATTGGCTTCTCGAGTGTTCTGCGGGTAAGTAGATGCACAGGAATTTTAAGCATGCTTCAAGAAACGTTGGCTCTACTCAAATTTAATCCTTCTTGCCCTATAGTCCGTAATAGGTTTAGAAAAACATCTACGAGCTGGAGAGGAGGAACCGGACAGAAGCTTGCAGGGCAGAGAAGAAACCTCCTCTTTATTCCAAACGTCCGTCGGTTTACCTTTTAAATTTCTCTTAACCTGTCACTGACTATGGTCGCTTATATTTCCTTTAAATTATTTTCAGAAATAAAGTAAAGATTTGTTTTACATTACTAGCTCGTATACTGTGAATATAACACTGACAAGCTTGCACTGCCGTCTGTGACAATGTACTATACTCGGGGGTAACTTGGGTAACTCTTTTTGGCAATGTAGTTGAGGACACCCGCGCAGCTTGAGCGCCAATGAAGGCTATGCACACGTACTCTTCAGAAACGCCACAGAAAGCTGTTCGGCGACGATAAGCGGTCATCAGTTTGCAATGAGGTAGTAAGTTAACCCAGAATATTTATAGTGGTCGAAAGTAAACCTCTACATGGACCGCAGCCTGAAACTTGTGGATTACAAAAGCACTGACTAAAGTGTGTGTAATTGGTTGTTGGTGTGAAACTTAGTAGGGGAGATGTGTGAGGTAATTCACCTCTCGCGTCGGTTTGGCTGACAAGAGGGAAGAGGAAGAAGTGAATAAAGGGCTTTTTGCGTGCCTGACTCCATGTTGAAAGCTTGCCCTTTTCCCACATCGAACATGGTGTCAGAAGTGGGATCGGCATACTACCAGTTTTAACCTGTCAGCTCACGAAGCAACCGGCTCCTCTTCAGACACCGAAGCGACCGCTAAAGCAGCTGCTACGGGGAATATCTCGGGTCAACCTCAAGGTACAAAATCGGACACCAGGGGGGCTATGTTGCACGTTTTGGATAACGAAAACATATCGAGGGGCTTTAGTTTTGGACTTCCAGGCGACTAGGGAGAAGGAAGTGACGTAGGTGTGAATGAACGTATCTTAGCAGCACCACGCAACGCGTCATCAGCGACTCCACCAATCAACATCCAAAGAGCGTTGTTGACGTCACTTCCTTCTTCCTAGTCTCCTGGTAGACCAAAACGTGCAACATAGGACGCCATGGCATCGTTCCGGATAGATCCGCCGGAGCCCTTTACCTTCGCCACTCCAAATGAATGGCCCTCATGGAAGAAATGTTTCCTTCGGTACCGGGCAGCCTCCGGACTGCAAGATGCAGCCGAAAAAAGACAAGTTAAAGAGCTCGTCTATTTGATGGGCACTCAAGCGGAAGACATCTTCAACACTTTCAAGCTAAGTAAGAAAAAGCCAAAACGTTCGATGTCGTGCTAGCCCACTACGAAGCCTACTTCTTTCCAAAACGCAACATAATTTATGAAAGAGCACGATTCAACACCCGAACACAAGGGGAGAGCGAATCAGTGGAGGAATTTTCAACGGCCCTGCACACGTTAGCCGACACGTGCAACTTCGGCGAACTCAGAGAAGAACTAATCAGAGACCGCTTGGTAGTAGGCCTGCAAGACAAAAAAGTTTCAGGAAAACTACAGTTTGACTCGTCGTTAGACTTGATGAAGGCGCTCATGATCGCCCGTCAACATTAAACAGTCCGACAACAACAGAAAGAACTACGTCCCACAGAAAGCTTAGAGTCAGTACACTAGGTTCGCACAAACAGATCATTTACAGTGCCACAAAAGGCTATGGTCGCTTGGGATAGGACTTTGTCAAAACGTCATGTGCATGACGCCAAAA